ATCTTTATTCTTCTGACGTTGAACCTCAATCCATATTGAAGACTGCAGTCCTTGACCTTCTGCAGCAAGTGCTTTAATTTAGGTCCTCCTCAGTTTCAGCAAGCAGGGTTGTGTCATCCGCATAATGCAGGTTGTTGATGACTCTTCCACCAATCCTGATGCCACATTCCTCCTCGTACAGCCCATATCCCGGGATGGTTTAATTACAGAATAAATTAAAAAAAAATCAGAAGGAAATTGCCCCGGGATGGCTTAATTACAGAATAAATTTTAAAAAATCAGAAGGAAATTGTAGATTAAGTGTATGGCTTTCATATCTACATTTCAAGCAATTGCCATTGTAACTGATAGGGTATGATTTATTTTATGTAAGCATCATTGCAAAACAAGGTGTGGAAGCTCAGTTAGATTTACTCCTGTGCACGAAAGTAAAATAAATACCAGTCTCAATTATTCTTTTTAATTTCTTTTTTTTTCCAGTTAAACACATATTTTAATACATTTAATCTTTATTATGTACACATTGGCTTTGCTTTTCTGATCTCTGACATTTTTTTATCATTAAATTTTATTAGTTTTAATGAACATTTACAGGGATTTTGGGTTTTCACTCCTTCATTGCCGCACCATTCTCTCTGCCCTCCTCCCCAGTTCGTTCTTCTTCCCCGCCATCCGAATGTCTGTTTTAATTGTCCAGTTGCCACAGTGCTTGTCTTCTTTTTCATTTCTAATATAAAGTTTGCTGAAGTACAAGAAGAGTTTATCACTTAGGGTATAGAATTTTTTTAGGGGCTTTGGGGGGTGGACTTTGTCAAGAAATTGTTACTTATATACCAAGATGTCCTGATTTGACCCAAAACATAAAAGTTGAAGCTATTCCTGAACTAAGATGGAAAACAAGAAAATGGCTATTATTCTAAAAAAGAAAAAAAAAATGGTAGAATTAAGTTGTTGCCAGAATGTGAGTTGTTCATTTTATGAGCATGTGGAAAATGCTCCCATGTTTCTGAAAAGCAATCTGTACAGGGAAAGGGATAATAAATAACATTTCTAACCAAAAAAAAAAATATGCAAAAAGTCAATAAATACCTGAAAAGTTGATCAACTTTATTATTCATCAAGAAAGTAAAAATGAAAACTACACTTCACTGCAAATTCACACTGACAAATTACCACCATTTTTTTCTTTGTTTTTTATTATTATTCTTAATTTTAGTGAAAATTTACAGAGACTTTGAATTTCAATTCATTCATTGTTTCACTTTTCACCCTGCCCACCCCTCACAAATAGTTTGCTCTGCTCTTTGAAAAGTAAAAGAAAAATTCCTTCATTGTTATACAATTCCTCCCCCCAATCACTCCACTGTGCAGCCTTCATTCTGGACTTTTTTCATGAAAATAATACCTAATCATATATCCCTTCTAAACAGTTTTCTCCTTCATTTGTTTCAATGCAGTATACATTATTTATCCCATCTATCAATCTCCCCTCAACCCCAATGTCAGTCTCGTTTTACAACAGTGGCACCATGCAGTATTTGTCCTTTTGTGACTGAGATAATTCACTCAGCATAATGTCCTCCAGGGTCACCCATTTTGAATAATATTGCACGAGTTCCTTGTTTTTCAATGCAGTGTAGTATTCCCTTGTGTGAATATACCACAGCTTCTCTATACATTCGTTTGTTGATGGGCACTTAGGTTGTTTCCAACTCCTTGCTATCGTGAACAAAGTTGGGAGAAACATGGGTGTGCATATATCTGCTTGGCTGTCAGTTATGGTGCCTTTGGGGTATATTCCCAGTAGTGGAATTGCTGGGTCAAATGGTATCTTTATTTGCAACTTTTTGAGAAAGCATCATACCTCCTTCCACAGTGGTTGGACCATTTTGCACTCCCACCAACAGTGAGTAAAGGTTCCAGTTTCTCCATAACCTGGCCAGCATTTGTTGCTTGCTGTTCTGTTCAATTTTGCTATTCTGAGTGGGGTGAGATGGTATCTCATAGCTGTTTTGGAGTTCCTATTTTTCAATGCAGTGTTGTATTCCATTGTTTGAATATACCAGAGCTTCTCTATCCATTGTTTGTTGATGGGCACTTGGGTTGTTTCCAACTCTTTGCTATTGTGAACAAAGCCGTGATAAACATGAGTATGCTTGGGTGGCAGTTATGGTTTCTGTGGGGTATATTCCCTGTAGTGGAATTGCTGGGTCAAATGGTATCTCTATTTGAAACTCTTTGAGAAAATGTCATACCACCTTCCACAGTGGTTGCACCATTTTACACTCCCACCAAAAGTGAATAAGGGTTCTAGGTTCTCCACATCTCACCAGCATTGGTTGTTTGCTGTTCTGCTAAATTTTGCTATTCTGACTGGGGTGAGATGATATCTCATAGTTGTTTTGATTTGCATCTCCCTTAGAGCTAGGGATTTTGAACATTTCTTCATGTGTTTGTTCACTATCTGAATGTCTTCTTTGGTGAAGTGTCGGTTTCTATCCTGTGCCCATTTTTCAATTGGGTTGCTTACCTTTATCTTGCTGTCGTGCTGGAGTATTTTATAAATTCTAGATATAACTCCCTTGTCTGATATGTCATTACAAAATATTTTTTCCCAGTCTGTGGTTCCCTTTTGACCCTGTTGGAGAAGTTTTTGGATGTGCATAGGGATTTGAGTCTTAAAAGATCCCATTCATCTAAAAACTTACCAATATTTTTAAAAGATTACTAACAATATCAAAATACTGTAGAGAATTCTGAGCCACTGGATTCACGTGAAAGATTAAAATGGGACAGCGCAACCGGGGTTGGCAGAATCTTATTATCTATTATGCATACAGCAACACACGAAGTTGTTATAAGTCACAATCGCTTTGACTACAACTAACAATAATAATAATAATAACAGTATTATTATTTATCATTACCTTCCAAAAAATAAAGCATAAGTCTGCAAAAACATTTTATACAAATGTGTGTTTTGTTTTTATTTATAACAACACAAAATTGCGAGCAACACAAACATCCATTAATAGGAGAACAGATAAGCAAATTGTGAAATAGTCATTCACAGAGTACTATTCAACAGTAAAAGAAACTTTCAATAACCAGATAAAACAACTGATGAATCTTAGAAACATTCTCTTGGATGGGGGAGGGAGTATACATAATATCTTGTTTACGAAAAGTTCCATTGCAAGAAAAATCAATTAAAACAATAGTAGTGGTTGCCTGAGGGAGTACAGAAATAGACTAGGAATTTCCTGGAAGAAACTTCTACATGTTGATGAAGTTGCACCAGGTTCAGGCTGGTTGGTTTGAGGCCAACCAAACAAAGGTGTGCCTTATTCAGGCCATGGTTGTTTCAGTCACTTGCTATGCATCAGAAAGCTGGACAATGAGTAAGAATGACAGAGGAAGAATTGATGCCTTTGAACTGTGGCATTGGAGAAAAGTATTGAGCATCCCATGAACTGCCAAGAGAACAAATAATGTCTTGGAGAAACTGCAACCAGAACGTTCTGCTCCTTAGCAGCAAAGATAATAAAGCTTCATGTCACATACTTTAGACATGTTGCTAAGAGAGGCTATTCCTTGGAGAAGGACATCGTGGTTGGAAGGGTGGAGGGACAGTGAAAAAGAAGAAGAACCTCAACCAGGTGAATTAACACAGTGATTGCGGCAGTGTGAGGATGGCACAGGCTAGGACAGGGTTCATATCTATTGTTCGTGAGTTGCTATGAGTTGTTGGCACCTAACAACAACAGCTTGAGTGGGAAATTTGTTACCTGAGTGCATTTAATTGTTATAACTCACCAAACTGTACATTTTCATGCAAATAATTTCTTTTGTTTGTATATGCCTTGATTCCAAAACAAAAGGTTAAGGGGGAAAGACTACAAGAAAAAAATGGGTTTTTACCTAGAATTCACTTACCTCCAGATTATTCAAGGTCTGGCACCCAAATTAGTAGTTTGAACTTGAGATTATTTGCTATTTGCTGTTTCCACAGGTGTTGTGAGAGATATTATCTCAGTCTTCCCCCAGCCGCCAAGTCAGCAAGGCTGGGAAAATCACTAATCAAGATTTGATTATACACATATTTGCAATCAAGAGAAGAAAATAAGGAACAACCTGGCTTATTTATAAAAGCCAGCGAAAGCCACACCACAGATCTACTCGGGCACCATGTTGGCGTTCCTGTTCCTCGTATCGGTGGCCCTCGTGTCCGCTCACCACGCCGGTGAGCACTTTGAAGGGTAAGTCAGCAGCTTCTTAAATGCAAACAAATCCTCTCCTCTGCCTACACTGAAGATTAAACCCTAAAATTCGCGTGCATGGCCCTTTTAAAATTTTTCCCTTCTGCTCACCTTTCAGTGAGAAGGTGTTTCGTGTCAACGTTGAAGATGAAAGTCACATCACCTTAATGCAGGAGCTGGCCAGCACCAACCAGGTAAGTCACTCCGTGTTGTAGGTTTTCTTCTCACCTACTTCCAAATTTGAGTTTGCAAAGTGATTCCGCCAAAGGAAAACTGACCTGAAAGGTAAGTACCCTCGTCACTTTGAGTAGAAAAAAAAAGAAAATTAAAACCTGGAAAAACTTCATGCCATAAATACCCCCTCTTTCTACCTGTGCTGGATCACCATAAATCCCATGACATTATAAATCTATCGGAACTTGTAAACGAGCTGACAGAACGTGACAAATGGATCCGTTGGAACTGCCACGAAGGTCAGAAGAACATGTAACGCGCAGTCACTTCTCCTCTAAAGCAGAAGAGAAAAATGATCAAGTTGGATTTTGCTGAAAAACTGGGCTTTTGTCCAACTTGAACTTCATTTCCACATCCTATGTATCATCTGTTCTCTTTGGTTTTCTTTCATTCCAAATCAAACAGCTTGGGCTTTTATGACCTTGATTCATATCCTCTTAATGATATGGCATGATGGGGACAGAAGGTGCTACGGGCGGGATGGTAAAAAGCAAAGAGTGATTTCTGTTCTGTTCTTTTGTGCTTACCAGAAGTCAATAAACTCTAGGGTACTTTAAAAAAAAAAAGGAAAAAAAAGTCACCCACTCACTGTACATGGCTGAGAACTGACGTTTTTCATGATATATGCTGTATGGTGGGATGCTTTGCTGACCACAATGCTTCTATGTGAGCCAAGGCTATTTATTCAGAGAAAGATATACAAACCAAAATAATCTGCAAGGCCTTAAATACTCTCTTTTACAAATCTATGTATAAATATACAGAAAGCCATTTCTTCAATGTCAAGGTATAGAAGATGACTCTGAAAGGTGTCATAATCAGAGACTTGGAAATTTAAAGACTGAAAGATAATCTAAAGCCATCTCTCTGAGTTTTCCACCAGTTCTTGGATTAGCTTCCTGTCAGGAGCACCCCTGGTTGCTAACCTTAATAAAGTCTATTTGGATACTTCCAGGAATTACAGTAGGTAACATTTCCACCTGGCCCGTTTGCCTTAGGAATCGTTCTCATTGTTTTCTTCCTAATACTGAAATAAAAGTTGCATTCTCTAACTTTGATCCATTGGACTCTGAGCCAAATATTGGCTCTAAGCCTTTAAGATTTATCTTCCCCCAATTTGCCATCATTTCTCTTAGCACAAGTTTACAGACTCTTGATCATTCTGGTCACCTCTGGATACAACTCAGTCTTCTGTCTATATTTCTTTTTAAAAATGTAGCCACTGGGATTGACAGTGGGCCTCCAGGTGTGCTTTGATTAATATATACCACAGGACCATTGCCTGCCTTCATTTGTAAAACATTTATTAATGGGCCATCAGAGACCGTGAGTGTCTTGAGCCGTCATAGAGCCCTCTCAGCGGATAAGGATCTTATCGTCAATCAAAACCATTAGATAGGTTTTTTAAACATGAATCACTTTCCAATAAAGGATCCGTCTTTCTATATTTGCCTAATTGCTGTTTAGAAATTCAATAAGGAAAAAAAAAAGAAATTCAATAAGGAATTTCAGAATTACTTTTAAAACTAGCCTCAATAGCCTGTTTTCAGCACATTCTTGTGTTAAAAACTAGTTTTAGTCACCCAGGAAAATAATTGGCCTCCTAACTTTGCATCACCAGCAAGTTTGATGACTTTAATCTTTATCATCGATGAAGAAGAATATTAGATAGGTTAGGAGATCAACACAGAATTAGGGGCCTCCTTCATGACCCATTCATTCAATACATATTTATCATTCATCTCTTATGCGTCAGACATAAGTGTTAAGCACTGAAGATGATTCATTTATCACCTCTGCCTGGATATGTTTGATCAACTACCCACACAAGTGTGGAGTTACCTGCCCTTAACAACTGTGCTGTTTTTCAGCCTCTAAAGGAGAATCTCAGTGCTGAGGGTGTTGAATGCTATGCTGAGATCAAGATTCAGCATTCCACCAGGCTAGTGGCCTCATCCGATGATAAGATGAAGTTAATTGGGCCTAACTTATCCTTGCTATAAGCATGCTGCCTCCCAGGGCTCACAAGCTCCCTTTTCCGAGCATTCACAATCCATCTGCTTCCAGTTGACTCCGCAGCTTTACCAGAATCCGTGCCAGGCCCCCGGAGCTTCTGCTTCTGAAACTCACCTGTTTTCATGCTTATGAAATTCCAGATTTGCCTTCTCCAGTTCTTAGTGATCCAGTCAAGCTCTGACTCCTTCAAGATTCCGGAGAAAGATCTGCAGTTACATTTCCAGTATTTTACTTATCCAAAAGTTGACATTTTATGATAGTTGAAAGCAGAAAATCTAGACTCAGAGCAGCAAAAATCTCTGGCCAAACCCACTGTCACTGAGTCAATTCTGATGCATGGTAACCTTATAGAACAGAGTAGACCCTCCCTGTAGCCTTTCCAAAGCTGAAAATCTTTATTAAACTAAATTGTCTCGAATTTCTCCTACACAGCTGCTGGCATGCTCAAACTCCTGCCCTTTGATTAGTAGCTGGTTCGTCAACCACTGTGCTCCCAGGCTTCATTTGAACTCCCTGTCTCGAGGTTCAAATCCTGGCTCTATCACTTGCTAGCTAGACTTTAGACCCTTAGCTTTTCCATACCTTAATACTCTCATTTTAGGACAAAGATATTATTTTAAAATTAAGATAATCCTGCCATGTATTTTATCACTCATTTATTTACTCCCTGCTATAAATTCAGCTCTAACTCATAGCCATCCTTTATTGGGCTCCCAAGGCTACAGACCTGAAAGGTAGAAGGTTATTTTTCATTTTCCTACAGAATGGCTGATGGATTTGAATCACAACTATGCCATCAGAGATCCCTCTGTTTCTTTATGTTATCTTGCTGAGTATTGTGGAGTCAAACAGAACCACAGCTGATCTTCCAGTGGGTTTTCAGAGGAGGCAAACAGCACAGGAGGGATTGCCAGTGGAATTCCTTACAACTAAACCACCCTCCCTCTATTTATGTTGTTGTTGTTGTTGTTGTTGTTGTTAGGTACCATGGAGTCGTAGACAACTCATAGCCACCCTATGAACGAATGGCCTGAGCACTGTTCTACATAGAGTTTCCGAAGGCAAGCCATTTCGGAAGTGGATGCCGCTCCTGTTTCCAGGCTTGTTTTAGTTGGGAAGCTCCAGCAAACACTGTCCACCATGGGTGCCCATTACCAGGTTTAGCACATCACTGTCACAGGCTTCAGCATCACAGCAACTATGAGTTACCTCTGTACAGCAATGCACAGACCAGTGCTATCCCACCTAGAAGAATGTATGACAGGAAAACAATTTGAACCCAGCCTGAGGGCCGCAGATTAAAATCACCCACCTTGGGCTTGGTATTTATGTTACTGGCTTATAAACTTTAATAATAATAATGATAATAATTAGAAAAATATGGAAAACACCTAGAAATTATTTATATAGTAAGAGTCACCCAATTGCCGAAAGAACAAATTCTCTTGGAAGGACATGCATCCAGAATGCTCCTTAGAAGCAGGGATGGTGAAGCTTCATCTCACATACTCTGGGCATGTTGTCATGAGGGCCCAGTCTTTGGCAAAAGGCATCAGACTGAGAAGGTACAAAGTCAAAGAATGAGACAAATACCTTCACTATGATGGATTGACATAGTGACTATAACAATGAGCTCACATAGATTTGAGTTTGCAAGAAGGGCACAGGATAAAAGAAGGTTCGGATCAGTTGTTCACAGGGTCATTGTACATTTTAGTAGATGTGATGGAGCCTAACAACAACGTAAAGTGGTTTTTAATATTATAATCAATGAAGTCTGGGAATTTGAAATTGATTGACATGGGTAGATAGAATGACTTCTCCTCTGTCCTGTGGACCTTAGTGTATTCTTCCCCCCCTAAAAAAAATTCCATAGCAAGTAAAAAATTCCTTACTTATCCTGCTATTAATTAATATCACCTCTCAAGAGCGACAAAAGATAGTGTAACTCCTTGGAGCAAAACAGAAGCCATGGGATTTAAATAGGTTCACTTCTCTCTTCCAGCTGAACCCATTATGTTGTAGTTCGAAGCAGTGAGGCTGTCTGTGTCCCCTTTATTCTTTTAGCTTTCAAGCTGATTGGAAAAGGGGTTTTTTTTTCCTTCTCCATAGCAATCTTGTAAGTGCTGCATATTCTGGGATCTGGCCTTCCTGATAAGATCATTACAAGGGCATCCAGTCTTTGTATTCATCCTTGGCTATGTGCCCTTCCTCTCAGCTTTTGAACCTGTTCTTTCAAAAGTTGAGCATCCTGGAATGCTCTGTGGCCACACCGGACCTAGCACGCCTCCCCTTTGCCATCTGGATCATCCGTAATTGCATAGTAAGGACGTTATTATCTCTTTTTTGTGGTTAATTGTGCTCTTTTCCCTTTTTTTTTTTGGAACCATTTTCCATTGAGCACACTCTTGACTCTGAGCCTCCTTCAATTCTTGTTGCTGGCTGTCAAATACATACTGATCTATGGCATGTGTAAAATACCTACAGCCTTCCCCACTCTTACCAAAGCTCTAAATCCCTTCTCTGCTCTCCTGAAGAGTCTAGAGTAGCCGTCACTCCCTCTACCAACAAGAAATGACAGTTTCATCATGATAAGTGAAGACTACACCAGATGGTTCTGTTCATCATGGAATGCAACATCTAGAAATTCCAGAAAAACCAAAGATCCTTGATGCTAATATTCTTTTCTATTTTTTTCACTTTAGTCCCAAGAGACCATAAGTTGGATAAATAAATTACTTCTTTTACTAGTTTTGTGATGTATTTTAGGAAGAATTCTTCCATTATCAACCGTTTGTTGATATCACCCACAATGCTATCACTTAAGGGAATCCTTTTATCTTTCAAAAACTGTTTCTTTACCACTAAGCTGGCTGAATTTTCATTTTTTTTTAAAAAATTTCTTGACACAGAATCCAATCCCTAAATCTAATGTCATCTATTCTACTCTATTTCTATATTTCATATGTAATTTCCACTTACATAGACTTGATAATTTATGCAAGTCTATTTCCTCTTAGTGCTATGAATTTATTTATTATTTCTCTCTCTGCCCAGCACAAAAAATAAACAGCTATGCTGCATATACTTAAGTGTTGGAACAGATCCCATGTGGTAAAGCTGTGGTACTCTTACAGCAGTCCTCACTGTTGAAACGTTAACATAGTTCTGTGACCATTTCTCTCCATGACAAATCTACATGTTTTAATGACCTTGACTTGGGTCTGTAAGTCTCTTTCAAACATATTCATAATGTTTCTTCACCTCCTTTGCAAGAATACAGCAGAAGCTTAAAAAGTAGTGTGGTATGTATTTTTCTCGTATATAACGGAAATAAAGACCATGCGTAACAGTTTAGAGAAGGCAGCTACTAGCTCTGCGTTATTGCTGATGTTGTTGTTGTTGTTATGTGCCATCAAGTCACTGCGACTCTTAACGACCCTATGTACAAAAGCTCTAAACCCTGCTCTATCTTTTGCCAATCTTATAGTCTCTGACACACCCACCCCCATTACCCCAGTCACTGAATCAATCTATCTCACCAGTTCTATATTAGGAAAATAAATTCCTAAGACTATTAGACTGTCTGTCATAGTTCATAGTTTTATTAGAAATGACAGAGATGTTGTACAGACATTTATTTTGAGTGGGAAGTTGGAATTTTTTTTTCAAGAAGCAGGTCTTGAGACAAAGATTCAAGTGTAGAAGTTTTATTTGGCATATCCAGAGAATATGGTAAAGAAATGGGGAATGAAAGAGGGGAGTAAACAAAGGAGACACTATTAAGCTACCTACCACAGAGGGCACCTGAAGCATAACCCCAAAGGGAAATTCTAGAAAAGATTGCAAAATGTGTGTTTTGGAGTAAATCCGTTCAACCAATGGAGGTAGATCATTTAGAGATTGACTTTCTAATGCCATTGACTGAAGATTTTTCTGGAAGGAATCATTGCTCAACATCTCCTGCCTGACATAGACTGGTTGGTTGACTTTCGGAAGTTCTAGGGGAAAGAGTGCTCAGCATAAAAATACAGATCTCAAAATTCCCCTGAGTATACTCTGGGTGCAAGGATTATGGGTGAGCAACTGTAACAGCATCTTCTACAGGAACTTAGAGGATGTGAGGTGCTGCACCCCTGTGTCTATAATAGACACACATGTCCTTCTCACACCTCACTTTAGAGTGACAGATGTTTATGAAGAACACAAATTCAAAACTGAGTTGGATTGTTTTTACATTTTTATTGTGATGAAGGTAGATAGATAGATACAGATATAGATGATATAGATGATGTAGATATAGATAGATTTAGATATAGATTGTTGTTCTTGATTGCCCTCGAGTCAAGCACGACTCATAGCAACCCTATGAACCAAAGACCTGAAGCCTTTCAATAACTATCATTGTTTCTCAAAGTTCATACATAGTTTCCAGAGGCATGTCATTTAGGAAGTAGATGGCACTCCTACATCCTCTCAAATTCAAACACATTGCTATTGAGTTGAAACCAACTCATAGTTAACCCTGTTGGGTTTCTGAGCCTGTAAAATACCCCAGATGAGATTATGCCTCTTTGTCGCACAGATCCACTGGTGGATTAAAATTGCCAGGTGGTACCACCCCCTATCTACAGACTATCCCAACAGAGCTTCGTGTGTGTGTGTGTGTGTGTGTGTGTGTGTGTGTGTGTAACATAAACCATTCACATGTCAACAACTTTCACGCGTGTAGGCCAGTAAGATTGATTATGTAAATCATATTATTCAAGTATCACATTTTCTTGTTCTAACTTCTAAGAATATGCTTTTTCTTATCATATTTTTGTTTCACTTCCCTTCACAATGTTGCTTCTTAACTATGAGCAGCCCCTTGCTTTTTCTGTCTTTATGATTATATGCCTCTATGTTTCCTCCACCATCAAGTACTTTCTCATCTTTATCCTGTCTCTCTTAACTCACCAGGTCACATTCTGTATTCAATCCTTAATAAGCATTAATGTTCTCCCTTTTTATCTTTCGTGACAAACACAATTACAGTTACACTCAAATATTTTGGACTCTCTGCTGGTTGAACATTTGGGTCCTGGTCCTGATTATCCCTCTAGCTATGACTTGGGACCAGGCACTCACCAGACTTCTTCAGTGGTCTGAAGGCTACAGGCTATCAGATTCTCCACAAATATATTTGAAATTGAGCCATTTGCGGGAGGATCACATCAATTTCTGCCTCAAAATCTTTAAGTCTGCCCAAACTCCCTTCTAAGTTCCCAAGGTGTGGTTCTAAAAGTTACCACCTGTCACATCTGTGGCTGAGACCAACTCACAAACATATGAAGATGGATTGAATGAGACACAAGGGCAAAGGAAGAGCATACGATAGACTCATCTCTAGTTTTGAGCTCGTCATTCAGCCAGGAATGACAAGAAAAGCAATACAGATAAGGGATAACATGTCCCTGGTTAATGTGTTTCCATCTGAAGGGAGATTCAAAATGACAAATTCTAAAAAAAAAAAAAAA